GCAAACCACCCTATTTTTTCACTATAGTTACAATAGTTATTAATTAAATACCTTATTTTTAATTTTACAAAGAAAACATTCCAATTTACGCTACATTAAGTTTTACAAATTATTTTATTGAATGAATTTTTTTTATTAAGTTTAATTTATTATTAATTATTAATAGAAATTAGAATAAATTAAAACATATTAATTAATACTGCAGTCTTATGTCTGTTTGGGATTTTTCATTAGAGGAAATACTGGATCCCAAACTGGTGGTACGGAGAAACCATCTTCCCTGTTGAAATTAGGATGTTTTTTAATTTCAATGGCCTCTCGCAGCATCCTGGGCAGATAACGGACTTCTTTTGCAAGGACCTGGGGTTTGTCAAACTTCATTGAATGTGTAGGTTTATCCATGACATGCTCGCATGACATGTTTGCATTAATATTAGACATAACTGGTTGAAGACTGTACCACCTCAGTCAACCGTGACCATGGGACCTGTAAAGGGCCCGAAACGTCGGTTTGTTTGAAAAAACAAATATACGCGATTTAAATCCGGAAAAATAGTTTCATTCCTATGTGTAACAATCGCGAAAACCTAAGAACTCGATACTATATAATTTTTTTAACAATTATATAATTACAATTAAATTCTTTGTTAATATTTCGTTATGATGGTTACCTACCCTCTCGGTTTTATACATTAGCAATCTCACCAGACTAGTTCATATTGAAATAATTCTCAACGACATGCAATTTATTTTTTGTTAAATACTTCTTTATTCCTTTGCAATTTATTTATTTTTGTTTTTAGGCATTTTCAGTACATTTTATATTTACAAAAAAAGAAAAAAAAATATGGTGCCGAAACCCTTTTTTCTAAAATGGAAGGATATGAAACCTGCTCCAGCGACTCAAGCACGGTAAAGCACGCAGGCAAAGATCTTACAACCTTGAAGTCCTTGCGAATAACGCGAGGACAAAATAAGAGGACGTTAACAAATTTGGAGAAATTTTTGGAATCTGCAGAGGTAGACGACGCCATACTCGAAGTTCGGAGAAAAGTATTGGAAAAAACATTTCTAAACTTCCAAAATACACAACATGATATTTTATGCATTGACGAGGGCGACGATGATAGCGATGAGTTTGAGCTGCATTATTGCAATTTGCTCGCTAAAATAGAAAAACTGCTGAAGAGCTGTAAAAGTTTCAAAACTGGGAACCACAGCGCCTCTCCTTCTGCAACATCAAGCTATTTGAAACTTCCACGCATAGAAATAACTACTTTCGATGGTAAATTAGAAAACTACCGCTCATTTGAAGACTTGTTTGATTCGCTAATTCATCAAGATCCAAATTTGTCAAACATACGAAAGTTATATTATTTAAAACAATATTTGAAGGGAGAGCCTTTGGAAATTATCAATAATTTACCACTCACAAATGATTCGTACATTTCTGCGCTTGAATTACTCAAGAAAAGATACGATAACCCTTCTATTCTAATTGCAAAGCATATTAATTAATAAAACCATATTGTGTCATGTGTCATGTGTAATTATGTCAACGACATTCAATTTCTTTTTTGTTAAATACTTCTTTATTCCTTTGCAATTTATTTATTTTTGTTTCTTTTGTTTATTCACAATTGTTTTTCTTCCTTTCATGTCATTTTTGCATTTTCAGTACATTTTATAATTACAATTACATTTTTTTATTTATAATTCAATATAAATCCTGCAGTCATTATACAGGCTGTAAATTTGAAAGTGAGACATACTTATAGAGTGCGTTATATTCGTGATTCTGAACCCAAAGAAAAAATAAAAAAATGAACTTATATTTTACACAAAAAAAAAATATTTTTTATTTTTTTATCGACTACTGCTTGTGAACAACATTAGTCGTCGAAATCCATGCACATCCCTATTGATGTTCCCACGCAGCGCGAGTCTACTAGCGCGAGCGCGGCCTCTTTGATCGCGCGGCACATCAAGGAGCAGAGCCCGCCCATCAAACAGTGCACGCGCCGCGCGGCCGCCCTCGCGAAGACACGTAAAGTACTTTCGCTCGCCCGATCACAGCGCCGCTCTCGCCCGCAAAATGGATACATATTCAAATGTCGAATTGACTGAGATGGTGCGACTTTACGCAATAAGTGGTGATAGTGTGAGACGAGCGATTAGAATGTTCGGAGAAATGTTCCCAAATCGGCCGCTGCCAAATTATCGGGTGATGCTTGCTGCGACTCAAAGACTGCGCGATTATCGCCAGTTCGATGAGCCTATAAATGCTGAAGGTCGTGGCAATGTAGGCATCAGCGTGGACCTGCAGGAGCGCATCTTGGACTATTTCGAAGAGGAGCCGCGCGCTAGCACACGGGAGGCAGAACGCCACTTCAATGTCTCGCACATGACAGTGTGGAACCTTCTAAAACGCGAGCAAATGCGCCCATTTCATTTCAGAAGGGTCCAAGATATCACGGCCAATGACAATGCTCCGCGAGTTGCACTTTGTGAATGGCTACTGGCCAATCATCACGTAAACATTTTATGGACAGATGAGAGTATGTTTACGCGTGTGGGCGTGTTTAACGTTCATAACGTACATTGGTGGAGCCATCGGGACCACAACCCGAAAAAAACTAAACGGGATTCTTTCAAACACCGGTTCAGTTTGAACGTGTGGGAATAGTTGGAAATCACTTGTTGGGGCCTTACTTTCTCGAGAGTCGTCTCACCAGTGCAACTTATTTGCAGTTGTTACGCTGCGTTGTTGTGGACGAGATGTTGGACGACGTGCCCCTTGCTCTCCACCAAAGCCTTTATTACCAGCAGGATGGAGCCCCCCCACACTATGGACGTGAAGTGCGCCAGTATCTGAATGACACCTTTGGTGATCATTGGATTGGACGTGGAGGCCCAGTCGCCTGGCCACCTCGGTCACCTGATCTCACGCCCATGGATTTTTATTTGTGGGGTGATATTAAACGTTTAGTGTACACGGAAGAGGTGAATAGTGTCGAAGTGTTGCGTCAAAAAATAATTACAGCATTTCATACTGTGCGACAAAATGTGTTTGTGCTAAACAATTTAAAACGAAATTTACGACGCCGTGCTAGACTATGCATTGTGCAAAACGGTGGACATTTCGAACAATTGCTCCGTACCACGTAAGTGTAAATAAACTGTAAATAACTAAAAAATCATTGTAAATAATTTGATTTCACATTTTTAACTACGCCAAAAACCTCAATTCTTATTAAATAATAACTAGTTACTGAATCATAAACTTATTAGTACGTAAAACATTTCGATAATAGTTCCTAAGTAAAAAAATAATTAACCTAAGCTAAAACGTAATCATTTATAACATAAATGAGTAAGTGAGTAACTTAGTTTTTATTTTCTTGAGAAATGAGGTGCTTTGTCGGTCCTAAGCCCGAAAAAGGAAGGGAGATGTGAAACCATTGTTATTGTGTGTAGGAGTGTGCGATTGTGTGCGACTCGGTATGTTCCACTTTGGACTCGAAATCAAGCGTAAAGGGGATCGTTTTATTCCTATATGCACTCCAAAACAAATATGTTGATTTATTTTTTGATTTATCCCATATCCTAATTTTATTTTAGTCTATGTTAAGTTGTAACATGATTTTCTATGACGTGTATGAATATGTCCCACTTTCAAATTTACAGCCTGTATAACGCGGATTCTTACAGTAATTGTTGAACGCCTGCCCTTTATATTATGGCAATAAAGCACTAAAAACTTTTGCTTTTTAGTTTAGTCAGGCACTTTATAGCAAAATTTTCAATCGGTTATATTTTTTAATTAATGTAGATATTAAGCGTATACCTTTAATTCGTGAAGGTAGCAATTACTGGTAATACATACTTCTGGAAAATCTGCTCCCTTCATGCTGAACAAAGAGGCGACCAGCCATCCTGACGTCAGAATAGCTAATCAAAATTTTTTTTAATTCTCAAAACATATCATAGGTAGCAATTATTTAGAAAAGGTAGCAATTCTTGAATATACACTCAGTGCCAGGCGCCACAGGCGACCAGCCATCCTGACGGTCACCACCTGGAGGGCTAGTCCCATATAACCTTTGAGCCTCTCCAGGCTCGAGTATGCATAAAGGGGGAAAAGACAAAGAAAGAATATTTCTCTGAACGAACGATTTCTTATGCTCTACCACTACATATCATTCATTGCAACAATCTTATATCATACAATCTTCTCAAGTTCACTGCTGAGCAATTTCAGTGTTTTGCATTGGCCGGTAGTTATTTTCGGAGTGCAGTTACATTTAAAAACTAGTCATATCAGTTAATTTTGTTTCCAATACTTTCTACACATATTGGCCTCCATATTTTTTTTTGTAATAAAGTTAGTTATGGGATACATATACATCAATAGTAAATGTTTTCAAATAAGCTAGGTGTTATATTAGGGCATCTTTTTATGCCTAAGAATTGCTCCCTGCCATCAAGTTGATTTAAATAGAAATTTAACTTGATCGCTGAATATTCGCTATCTCGCTATTTCAAAATTATCTGTTCGACACATTAAATGTCCGGTTTGAAAAGGAACGGAGACTTGATTTAGGTTTGGGGATATAGGTTCATGAATAATATAAACAAATTACATATTCAGTTGTTTATTATCTATACTGTACTCAAAATTGATCCGGAGATCACATCACATAGTAATTTCATAAATAATATTACAATGTCATGTACTTTCTGTGATTGTTCGTGAATAAAAAAATGTTCACAATATTATCAATACTTTGTTCACTGGACCGGCTTGCATTAAAGTAGACTGAGGTACCTACTACATAATAAGTTACCATTAGGTACTCAAAGAACTTACAGTGTATTGATTGAGAGATATATTATTAACCATAGTCAATTATTGTGTTGCAGTTCTTTTTTTTGTCAATATATTTACAGTTTTACATTTTTTTTGTGATTTACAAATAAATTCTTGAATATTTAATTAGGTCATCATTACTCCATTTGGATTTATAATAACAGTACTTTATAGTTAAAAATATCACAAAAATGAAATATATTATGTGTAAGACACACGCAACATTAAAAATACAACAAAAAGAAAATATAAAATCCACTAGAAACCTTGGGCCAGAAGAGTCCCTTCTAAACAGGAAGGATACTTTCGATGTTCAATCTTTCATAACGGCAATTTGATACCATAATTATTATTATCACACTAATTATAAAAAGTAATCAATTGTCTTACAATAAATGCGTCAGATCATAAAATTTTGAATACGAAAATGATAGGCAACAAATAATCCATGAAACGATAAATTTCAACAAAAAATAAAATGACAACTTAGGTATACAATATTTACGAGTCATAGTGCCGTATTGATAAAAGTGAACTGTTCACCCTAGCACGGGACCACTATAACAAACAACATAAACAAACGCAACGAGTTCCTACTGAGTTTGACTCCGCTTCCGATATTCACCTTTTATCGATATGGCATTCCACTTACGATACGACAATAAATATAACACGCTTACACATTAATCACTTCTTTAATTCCGACGCTAGGAATTATTTCATAATATATACCTAAAAATATAATCACGGCACAAGTATCCCTCCGACTAAATTACTAACGTAGTGTCACTTTATCAGGATTTAGAATCAAATATGTATTATGTATCTTAAATATTTCATTATTAATATATCATTATCAAAATATCCACTAAATGGGAGGAATAAATCAAATTATTAATATTTTATTCTAACATTAATCGCATGACTGATCAACAAAAAGGATATGGACTAGGAATAATATTAGGCATTAGGCTTCCATGCCCTCGGGGTGCGCACGCCAACCGCGGACTTGCTTTGCCTGACATTGCAGTCAGTTGCACGTCAGGCCGGCAGAGGCGCAGAGACAGCGCGGGCACCCCGCCTCTCTCTATCCGCATATCACCTCTACATACATACCACGACATAATTTGATCAAAACATTTAATACTGTTTGTGTCGAAAATAATAAGGGAAGTTCATGCTGCACTCACCGAGAGGTAACTGGACTCGATCGTCGGTTACTATTTTGTGCTTCGATATACGAGAATCGATCAGTAAAAGAATGATTATCTAGCAAAATCTATCTGGAATAAAAGCCGACGTTCTATCCTAGAATTAGGTAAATAGCTTGGAAGTATGCCTTCATCGTTTTAATATTGTCCGATAACTTTCATTGTATTTCGAATTGTCTGCCCTCTATCACTCTACGAGTGTCGTGATCTATGCTAAGTGAGAAATGGGGTTGCGGCGCGATTCAGCGCGCGCGCTGTTTCGGACGTGAGACGTGGTGCGAATGGGATGGCTCCTTAAGGGAAGAACGACGTGCCGCGGCCGGGGGCGACGGCTGCCACCCGGCCCCCCGACCCAACGCCGATTGTGCCCCGGCGTCAAAAGTTTCAGTGCCGAAGGAGAGAAGCGGCTACTCTATTGGTGTTTCATTACTGATTCACTTAATCTAAACTAGTGTAAAACTTGTCATCTAGAAAAACGTAATTCCATAACGTACGTAAAAAGTAACATAATTCTCACAAAAATGCTCACATTAGGAGAGGGGTGATGCCACTTTTGACACCGGCCGTGACCGTCGGTAACCAGTGCCCATGCACCGCCCAGCCTTGGCCGAGGCCGGCCCAGGCGACAGCACCACCCATACATTATTACATCACTTATATACAACAAACTTCGTGCGACGTCCGACTCTGGACGCACCGATCTTTACAGGAACTCATATCGTATCTTAAAAAAAATATACAATAGTAATAAAACATTTTGAAACCTCACTAACTACTATTCGACGATCTCGGTACGATCTCGATATAATTACTCGAACGTCTCCGGCGTCTCGAAATCTATTCATATCACAATCGCATGACCGTGCCTGAGAATCATATCCCGCTACATATGTACACACTCTTTCCCGAAGACTAAACGCACGTTCCCGATGGGAGCGAACCGCGGTCCGCGTCAGGCGGACAAGACGCCGCTCTCTCCCGTCATCTACACTAACCGATATTCACTAAGATATCACCACCTCCGCGCGGGAGCGACAGTGCAATCCGGCCAAATCTGCCTTTCCCGAGTGTGTCAGAGGCGCGATCGATATGGATAATGCGGGGCGCGGGCGATGCTCGATTACGGGACGGGGGGTCAGGGTGAGAGGGAGAGCTAAGGGATGTGGGAGAGGTTAAGGGGGGCGGAGGGCCGGCGGCAGTTGTACGGGGATGTGGTAGTAGCGGCAGGCGGCGCGGCGGCACGTGCCGGCGGCGGCGTCACGGCACACCACCACGCGGCACCCCACCACCTGCAGCCCGCACCCTGTAACACGCAAACAAATGTTTTAAAACTATCTCAATATCATTTTATCATTCTTTAAAGTTGTCAAGTTATCATCACTCACATTCTTTCTTCTAACGTCTATTCATGATAGAGCTATGTGAATGATAAAATTGATTATAGAAATGATGAATATAATGGTCGACAAATTAACAGTGAATGTTGTATCATAAAATCATTGTAGTGGGCATGTAAATAAGCAACAAAATATTACTAGAACTAGTGTTCATCTTGTTTGAATGTATAACTGTTAACTTGTCATCCCATTGAGTAACAAGAGATGTTAGTAATCGATCTAATAATAACCAAAACTATACAACTACTCTTAAAGTATGTTTTTCTAATGGTACCTACATATAGTTAAAACACAAAAGAATAAAAAGCTACTTTCTACCCACAAACTACTTATTCATTTAGTGCTACAGTATGAAATATTGTAAAATGTATTGTGATCATGCAAAACAGGGATAAAGAGGGATTCTGTAAATGGTATATGAGTTCATCATTTTTATTGATGATTAACAATTATTATTCTTTCAATTTGTTTCGAAAATGATGATATCCGATTTACAATGTTGATTATTTCGATTATGGTACAAAATGACTAAAGAGTGCATACCTTCACGAATATGAACAAATCTGCAGGTCGGTCTTGTACATCCTTGTCGATTAAAATCTTGGCACACCGGGAGGGTGTCCAGTAACTGTAAACATAATAAATATGTATTAGTAATTATTGTCAGCATTCTACATCTAAAAACATTCACGCAATTCACCATTCTCAGGTTGCAATGAAAATTAGCATACCCTCATTTCGATTCACGAATTGGGAAATCGTAAATTTTAGTATACATTAAGACCAAGTTAATGAAATCATTACAACAAGAGCTTAGTTTTAAAAATGACGTTTGTGCTTGCTACCTTACGTCAAATTGTTGTTACAAGATGAGACATTTATAATTTCTACACTAGATCACGTATTCTATGGAATAGTAAAAGAAAGAGGCCAATTTTCCGCTTCCTGGTTGCAATTTAAGTAACTGCGTGAAAGTTTGTTTAAACGACTATATTAAACTACTTCATAAACAGTCGGAAGTTATTACTAAGTTATAAATCATAGATAATCTAAAAATATGTTCTCATGAGTAGTTCACCAAGTATGCATAGTTTTGGATAATGATACTTGAAGTATGTATTGGTGATTGAATTTGTATAAATGTATTTTCGAATGCCGTCATGCATTGGACATGAACTCTTTAATGGGTAGGAAAGTTTTTAAGGTATGAACATAATTTGTCTGATACATATTATGATGATAGAGATACTGTATCCTACTCCTAGATACGGGTTTCACTCGAAAAAGGAGTATTCGGTCCATGTTCTCCACTCTGGTGGATTACTGACGCTGGTTGGGACGTAACCTCTATGTCTTTGAAGTAAGTTTTTTTACAATGTGTCATTGTCGCCGAGTCGGACGGAACTTCATAAGTTGCGTTGCAAAATGACACGTGCTAAAATAATCTTAGATTTTTACTTCTAAAAACAGATTTAATTATCAAATCATTATTGTTATATATATAAATTTTCTATCGCCTAGAGATCTTTGTAATTTTGTACAATTCTTAACGTACTGTATCAAACTCCGATGGTTTATGAAAAGATTATGTTAATAGTGTTAATTCTAACTCTATCATCGCTTATTGAACATTCATACGTCTGACATCGAACGATTTCCTCAATGCACAGCCATCTGAAAGGTAACGCTATCGTAGTGTTTGTAATATTAAAGAGCAAAGTATCTTCACCTGTATTAACTGGATTTTGGTACAAAAATCGTAGAAAATTTAGAATAAATGCGTGTGTAATTTCTCAATCGCTATATTATACACAAGACGGGGACACAAGGAAGGCAGATTCGCTCATAAACCAAATTCTTGCTGCTTCAATATTACAAAAACTTTACAAGATTTGTTGCACAATATGATTGGACCTTCCAAGCATTCTTTCATTTACGTGTGCGCTGCTAATGTGTGTCACCTTTATATTGTAAGAAAAAAATCTGTTGAAACGTAAACTTTACACAGCATTAATATTATTACGAGCCCACAAAATCTGTTATTCTCGTAAACTAGTTTCCGTAACCGTCAAAGAGTGTGTTAAGATACGCTGCACTATGCACATAGTAGGTATGAATATATAATATCTAAATGGCATGCAGAACGCTTGAAGTATAATCATTATTGCGCAGCCAATCTTATTTAAGCGTGACTATATTTTACAAAAAAGCTAAAGCATGATGCTAGACAACTTTTACCAGGGCGAGGGCGTTCTAGAGGTTTTGTAGCGTCCAAAGTGTACCCATAAATACCAACGGTTGCTATAACAAAGCTTAAAGAGGCTGTGTGGGGTAACGTCATGTGTCCGTTCGGCTGTGATGATTTAGACAATCTTCCGGTGTTCTCGGTTGAGGACAGAGGACGATCATGCTTAACGGTAGGTAGCCATGGTTATATGTAAAAAGACAAATTAAACTTATACCTTTAGCTTACATGACAGTTCTGGACGTGACATGTTAGTGGTAGTACAAACTGCAACATAATGACCATTAGAGAGTGCGGTTACTGTACGACAAACAAAATAGAAACCAAGTATATTATTACGTCTACGGTGAACACTTTAAAATAAGCATCAGAGAGGCTCATCGAGTCGTAAGCCAGGATTGAAGCCGCAACGCGAAGCACTGTGAGCATTGTAAAAGAAAATTCGAAGTGATTAACTACCTTAATTAAATTATTTTTAAAGAGCAGCAATTAGCTTGCTAATTAAAAAGCATCTTGGAGATTATGTTAGTCGTCACTTCGGGTTTTCTCTTATCACCGCCGTCATTTCAACTACCAACTACGCACGAAATAAAAATTATTGAAAGCATTTAAATTGTAATGAGTGAAAATAAAACCCCCTTTGGAAGCGGTTGATAGTTGACACTGGCTAGAGGTGATTCAACAAATACTTTCTGCTAATAAGTTTGACTATAGATGCAGTTTTAATTGCGTGATTGGACAAGTGTAAAACAAGGTAGCAAGCAATTTACAGTATTTATGTTACGTATATTATTTACAAGGAGTCAACTCATTAGCAGTACAAGTTGCTTCGTTACGTATTTAATTATTAAATATCACCTTTACTGAAACAGCCGAAAGGATTTTAAAGTATTAGAAGCGTATTAATACGCAGCGTTTATTGAATTAGGTTAAAATCATGCAAGTGAGAAGCGGCGTGTTTCAATATAGGCGTCAAAACAGGAAATCACTTAGAGGATATTATAGTAAGCTGATTGTATCTTACCGGGTGTAAGCAAGGCAATACTGTAGAGTGACTTCTTCCACATTTGAAAGCAAGTATGTCTCACTATACAAACTAAAAAAATCATCAACAAGTAAGTTGTAGCATCAACTGTTCAATACAATATAATCGGTACAATTACAGCACAATTACTAAAATGATTTGATGTGAATGATGATGACATTGATACACATGAGTCGCCTGATAAAGCAATGGTATCGGTCTGGGCCGATCCATCAGGTACTGGCACGATATATTCAAGTCCTCGATATAGTGTTAGCCAAGGATCGTAGCTGACACTGTCAAATTGTTATTCAGGCCTGACAATATTAGAGGAACAAAGGAAGACGTTCCGAAGATGTTGATGAGGTGAATTTTTTTCGACTTTCTTCCTTCGATGCGTCAGTCGGACTGATTAAAAAAAAGCTCTTATAAAAAGCATACCTTGACCCGCAGGTGTGATTAGCCCGTTTGTGTGATCGTGAAATCTGTCTGTTTTTCCTCATATTAATAAAGCACTTATTCTCTACTTAAGCCCGCCTTAAGCATGAGAAACTAAACACAAAGGTTTCTACAGGCGTTGTGACGAAGCAAGCTCAAAATTAAAGTCGTTTCTTTAAAACGTGAAGTGATATTTTGTATAGTCAATGATGACTTTAACTACAATAAGGCTGAAGTTACTCTTTATTGAAATGTATTTAAAAATAATTATATACAATCAAGTTTCTCATTTCTTTTTTATAACTATATTAAAGTACTTAGGCCTTTTTGTTCTTTTATGGAAGCACATGAAAGGCAGCTTGTCAGTTCGAGCTCGTCAACATAAAATAAAAAGCGTCAGAAAAACGTGAGCGCAGGTGAAGGGTAAAGTAAAAGGTGAGTACAGTTTAGCGTGGTTCCAGGGAGCGTACTTGTTAGAGCATTGCGCGAAATTCGTGAGCTCGGGACGAGGGCATGGCAGCGGGCGGCTCTACGCGAGGGGAATGGATGGTTAATAAGCGACATGCGCTTGGTCGCAGCGACTGTGTCCTTTGCAGTCCAAGGAGGTCAGTGGTGCTAAGGAATGGCAAGCGTGTGTGCGGCACGCGGCACTCGTTACCTGTCCGCGTTCGTCGGTGTACACCACATAAGGCGCGTTGGGTGGCGCACAGCCTGTCCGGCCCGACACAAAAAGCACAAAAGATTGCAATGCGGACGACAGCCGAAGCGGTCATTCGGAAGGCATGTAACAGAAAGCGTTCAAAATAAATAGAAAGAAGTGCGACCGAAAGAAAAAGCGGAGGCAACGCCTGTCGCCACCGCCGCTCTACTGATGAACACGCCGGCACACTGAGCACACACGAGGAGCACTAGAATAATGAGAAAAATACCTGATGAGCCAAACGTATAGGGGTGGTGGGTTTCTATTCCATGCGAAAATTAGGAGGCGGCTGTGTTAGGTGCGGGCTTGCGGCTGCAAGCCGATAACCTCTAGTACGGTACGGGATCGACACATCGGCCAAAGCGCACCCGTGCGGAGCTCCTTCGGAAACAAGCGTGTACGTAGCGGAATCGACGGACCAAGCGCTCAACTCTCAGTACGACGATACTCACGATAAACGACGATCGACAAGAGGTAATAAAAAAACGTACAGTCATGCATCCAAGCGTTATTATTACCGGGATCGTAGATACGAGAAATATACACGCATAAGATAATAACGGTAAGTGAGTAGAATACACAATATAATAAGAATAGCGTAAATCTACTGAGACTTCAGCGAGGGCGTATCCTCTCGCGTCGTCCTTACATTACAATAATACAATACAAATGTGACAACACGCCTAGCGCTAATCGCCCCGACAGGCCGGGGCGCACACTCAGCCGCACACGTATGAGTCTCTAAGCGGAGACCCCGCGCCCCGCGCCCCCCTCACACCGCGGCCCAACCGCGCGCCCTTTACGTCGTTTTCATCTTTTTGTACGGGTTGACAGCAGCGGCCGCAGCAGCAGCGGCTGCGGCAGCTGTCGGCGGCGTCGGTGGCGGCATAGCATACATGTATTGCTGCTGGTAGTAGGCGGGCATCGGCATGGGTGGAGCGGGCCAGCCAGGCCGCATCATCAATGGAGCCCTCATCATCCCCTGCATCGCCGCGCGAGCTTTGAAGGCCTGTTGCGTGTAATGGTGTGCTGCCGCTTGCGCCATCGCCGATTGTTGCGCAGCGAGGGCGAGTGCGGCTGCGTAATTTTTCTGTGCAACTTCTTTCGCTACGGCAGCTGGGTCAGCCGCAACGGCCGCGGCGGCGGCTGCAGCGGCAGCGGCAGCAGCCGCAGTGTGATCCAGCGCCGACGGAGGTGGTTGCGGCGTGGGTGGAGTGGCGGGTTGCGGGGGTTGCTGAGGTGCGGGTGGCTGCGGGGGTTGCGGCGCGGGTTGGGGCGCGGCAGGCTGCGGCGCTGAGGCGGGCGCGGCCGCCGCGGAGGGCGCGGGCACCGCCACGCTTGGCGGCGCTGAAGTAGCGGGCGCGGGGTACTCACATGACACGGGCACGAACGGCTGTTGTTGGAGCTGCATCAGCTGTTGATAAGTTGTCGCCGGTTGGTACACAGGAACGCCGGCTTTGTCCGCGGCGGGTCGCTTGTACGGCACCACTCCAGGGAAGGCCTGTAAAACCAAAGGGATCATTTGATACTAGTAAGAAAACTGAGCGACACTGGGGACGCGTTTAGACACGCCTTGAAGGCGTGGATACTTACGAAGTTATCGTAATAGAAGGATCCGACGCTCTTCATGTCCATCTGAAACGAGAAACATACGGTTGAGCGGAGGTCGGCACGGGGGGCGGCCGTGGCGCGCGCGGCGCAGCGCTGGGCGGGGGCGGCCCGGCACGACGACGCGCGCGCTCTACGGCTAAGGCGGAGGCGGGTGCGGAAGGGACCGGCAGGGAGAGGCTGGGAAGGGAGGTGAAGCGTGCAAAGCTGGCAGCCGTACCGGTGGCGGCTCGAGTTCGGCGGGCGCCGGCCGCTTCTTTCCCGGCTCCATGGCTGCGCTCGCTGCTGGCTGCTGGGCTGCGGCGGCCGTCTACGTGAAGCGAAGCGTCGCAGGACGGGACAGAAACAATAACGATGTAGTAGATGCACAGAATACACCTAAAGCTCGGCGTGAGGTGATATTAAAATGCGATAGATAACGAAACAAAATAAAAGTGAAGCGCGAGTGCGACGGAAGCGTGGCGCGCGAACTAAACAGAAGAAGCTCGGCGAACAAAAGCGGCGTCGCGGCGAGCGAGACCAAGCGGAAGAAGAGAAGCGAGCGCGAGCGAGCGAGGCGAGAGCGTGCAGCCTGGTGGCGTACCGCGCCGCGCGCCTGCGCCTTAAGGTGCGCCTGCAGGTGCAGGGGAGGGTGGAAATAGCGGCAGGGGTCGCGGACGCAGCGTCCCTTGACGGCGTCCATGCACACCGTGACACAGCCGTCGTCGTGCGGGACAACGGGCGGCGGCGGGTGCGCGAATCGGCACTCGGCCTCGGCGCGCTTGCACGCTCCGCGCTGGAACTCCCGGCACACCTGCACCACCACACACTGCAAGTCTCACCCGCCCACCCCGCCGCTAGCACCCGGCTCGGCCCTGCTCCAGCCTCTAATCTCTACTCATACTACACACTCGTTGCTGACTAGACATTAACGCGCGAACCCACTTAGTGATAGTTTCGAAAGACAGAATGAAAAAAGAAATGATTTAACAACGAATTTTGTTGTAATTTAGACAATTAAGTACAATATATTCAACTTTTTCGACCGGACGCCGCTTTAGGCCCACGACATAAACAACAAATTTCCAATTTCACGTTTAACTCAATCACGCATCCGTCGCCTCGGTTGATTACTTTTTTATCGAAACAAAGTAGTCAGAGAGTGTATTTTCTTTGTTTGAGGATTGATTAACGACTGTTAAGCAAGTGGCGCCACTACACCATGGGCGCAATGCCACCATGCTAGCAGTCCAAATATATAAGAACAACTATTATTTTCCGATCCAACCCTATGGCCTTGTGATTGCGCCAATAGTATAGATCCTTCACCATAGTAAGCGAGTGCTGCTCGCGAAGCACACGCGCAAGCTCACCGGGTCAGTGCGCCCACGCGAAACAGGGGTCGGGTGTGACGGGCGTCTCTTGCGCCAAATATGGCATCCGAGACCGACAACACCTTCATATTAATGGCTGTTACATTAGTCTCTTTAACTTAACGTTACTACTGTAATAGTTCTATAGAAAATATGTTGATCATGAAACTGTAAAATAGGCCCCCGTAGTATTAGGCAACATCGGGAAGCTTCTACTCTGATGTTAGCGAAGGTAAATTTGAAAAATCGTGTTCTCACCTCGAGGCGGTCAGTGCGAGGTAGCTTTTGTTGCAACACAGGCTGCTGCATGACACCAAGTGGCGACGCGGCAGCGGCGTGGTCGTGGCCCAACATGGCTGGCACCAGCTGCGGCGCATAGTACTGCGCGTACGTTGAACCCACGCCCGGGACACCCGATAGATATGGCGATGTCGCCTGTGTCACAAACAACAAAATATTAGCTCACATTTTGTCAAATCCATCTTAGTACCGCGTATGACTCCATTTTCAATCACTAAATACTTTCAAGCACCTCGGAAGGCCTAGAAATCTGCAAGCACAATAGTAGTAACAAATACTTAATACAAACTTAAAAGCTTTAGCGTAAAAATACCCAATACCAAATTAAAATTGTATAGTATCGTTAGCCAAACAAGCATTCGCGTGCAATAACAAACGAATCGAAATATTAAATAAGCATACGGTAAGTCCGGTCAAGCTACCCACCGGCCACCACCAGGAGTAGCTAAAAGACGAGGGTTGGTCGGGAACTGGGGAAACGGGAATACGAAACTCGTGTTACGTGAGGATTTTGGACAAAGTGCGGTAAAGAGGAGAGAGCAGAAAGGGGTGAATGGTGGTGCGACGCGGCCGGCGGCGGCGTACCTGCGGGGCGAGCAGGGCGAGACTGATCGGGTCCAGAGCGGCTAGGTGACTCGCGGCCGCACCCGCGCCGCTCACGCCGCCCACCTCGACACAAAACCACACAACACGCTACTCATCGTGCGCGCGCCCGCCCGCCTCGACCTCACTCCAAGCCCGATCATGTCTCTCGACGCTACTCGAGACTAGACTAGAGTGTGAACTCCGGTGCATGCCAGCGGTAGTCGGTGCACATCAACTCAACAACTGTAGAAGTGCAAGGAGGAACATCGAGGAGGGACGGTCGCCGAGTTAGCGACAGTGTATACGGTGTAGAAAGATAATGTTCCGGTAAATAAATCTGCATAATATACCACTTGTACCCAGTTCATAACCATGTGAGTAAGTTTGAAGAGTAGTCATGCCACTTAAGGAAGAAAATTTACAAACATGCTCAAGCAAGAAGAGCGATCGGCCACCATAAGTTTAAGTTGCGCCTGAAGGTAAACCATGTTTAAAAATAACACAAAACTACTTTCCCGGTTTTGATTAAGTATTACTACGTCTTCACGTATTCGTTAAACTTTAAATTAAACTTCATGCAGCACGGGGCGCTTTTATAGAAAGCAAATTACTATTAACTTTCCACGCATATAGGTACATGAGTAAGTTTTCAAGACAACTTTTATACTGGGAATTGAGTTAATTTACTTAAGTAGTAATATCTTTTCAAAGCACATACAAGTTACAATTTAAATGTCGTTTTCGTATTAGGCACAGCTTAAACACATAATTATGTATAAGTACATAAAAGTCTACGTGTTTTTTACAAATACGAACGCAAAGTACAAGATAGCGAAGACACCGAAAGCATTGTGGCGTGCACAAATTTACTTACGTATTGAGGACCGATCGCTCAAAGCATTTTATGGAAGACACAGGTTATAAAGGATATGAGACACTCACCACTGCAGGGACTTGGCCGGGCATAACCTGCCCTGGTGTAAGACCCATCTGCTGCATTAAAGCGTTCTTGAGTGCTAGGTGATTCCGACCGTTGATGAGCAGCTGGTCCTTGAGGTGCTGCGGAGGGTGGAAGTACTTGCAGGGTGGCTTCTCGCGGTTACACCGACCCTGGAAAAGTCAACAATGAACATATTATTGAGATATAAAGAAAAGGTACTCGTTTGAAGTACAATATTTCATTTGACGCCCGAAAACATAATGTTCGAAGGCATTATATTGAATAGGCTATTTTTGACACATGCGCGGAAAATGAAAAAGATAAGAGTAACGCGCCCCAGGTAAGTGACACTTCTGGGCTTTCAGAATAGACGAAAACTGCGGACCTTATTCGATAGCATTCCGATAAGCAATATGTGAAACGGGGCGGCGGGCGGCCGCGGTTGCGGCTCAATATCGGGCAAATGTGCGGAAATCCCTCCATGCATCACAATTGCTGTGAGCCGGGCACGTAGCCACCAGAAATCCTCCACTCGATTTTTCCTTATAACCGCGTCTTAGACGGTGTCAAATATTTCGAGGCGTCGAGAGTCTGGGCAGGCTTCGCTCTGCTCATTTTCGGCGTCAATGAGGCGCGAGATAATTGCCTTTCGGAATCGAAGCCCTCCGCCGCACCCGTCTATGATGATTTATTTACATCCGCGTAATTAACTGTCTCACTACGTGACGGGAAGAGCTTCACGGACGTTTTATCGTCGCGAACCGAGCCTCCTGCGCCATATTTTATTCAGCCAAAAAAACGGAAAAGCGCTTATCGCAGTTTCAAAGAAAATAGGTATACAAACAGACGCCGCTTGAATATTCAGCGCTCTACTGGTGATTCGCTTACTGATAACGTCTGGGTAAAAGCTTACAGTTATTTACTGGATAACTTTTCTCATATTTTGTTTATTGTTTAAGAAAGACTTTATTCTAAAAAGCATTACTGTGTAAATGATGTACGGTGTTCGCGTAACATAGTGGATGTGTTCATCTTTAGCTTCGAGCGAAATCAAATCCAGTCGTGTCCCAAATTTTCTCAGTTATTAAACTTCGGCGATGCGTGCAAATAGATAGTGGAAGCAGTCGGCTGCATTTAGATTAACTTGTTACTGGCAGGCATAATGTTAGTTGGACGGTCCTCTCACAGTTTAAACCCAGGATAAAGTTATTATTTCCTGTTACTCCACGCCGTCTACTTCAACTGAGTTTCGATTCCTAGCTACCCCGTTCGTGAATTTGAATGGGTGATCAAATTTCGTCGCCGAGATAGCTTGAGAGAGAAAACCGAGATATTAAACTCCTATTTATTGGGATAGGACGGATTTGCTTTGCCTGTTATTAACTACAGTTACAAATTTAGAAACAAACTTTAAACAAAGGCAAGGCGATGACATTTGTTCAGAATTCGTCTACATTATGAACTATAGAAGGATAAAATATAGCAATAGCCATGTTTAAGCCGAAGTGTACAATTTGGGACATATTAATTTGTTTCTACTGTGCTAGAGTAGTGCAATAGGCTGGTAAGCGGACGACAGGAGACGCGGCACATGCAGGTGTATTGCAGCGATTAGCGTGACGGATGCCCGCGCGGATACAAATGGCCGCGTCGCCAGAGACGAATGGCCCGCTCTGGCTGAGCTCCCGGCGCACACATTACGATACATTAATTGCTCTTCGATAGCCTCTATCGATTCCAACACGATGAATGGCGATCATTCGCGCATTTCTATACACATTATTACGGTAACACTTAATTTCCCGTTAAAGATTGTGGATTTTTCACGTTTTAGTAGATAAGAAAAAGATGTTATTAGCAACATAGTATTTTGAAAGATCATCCGTGATAGATAAGGATTAAAACAAATCTGCAGGAGGTTTCAATACGCCTTATTTGTTCGGGAAGAGGGCAGGCGAGGGTCGGCGAGGGTGGGCAATAACCTCCCCAAAACTAATAACATTTTTGTGATAGTGGAGGAGCAAACCGACCGCGTTGCCCTATAGCTATGTCCTTTATGACACAACAATGCGCACTTGCAATACAATAAGGGGTTAAGCCTTTATTCAGTTTCTTGCTATCGTTGCCAACCTGAACATAGCGATTTAAAAAAGCTATAACCGTCTAGGTGTAGGTCCTTTAAAGGGTAATAATGAGGATACTTTCAGTGGTATAATGCAGATTGAGTTTTAAAGTGCAGTTTTGAAATGGCACCGCCACCATCTCCACATTAGACAAAAAATGACATCAATGAACAGACTTGATTGTGACTAGTTAAGGTGAGTACTGTAAAGCGAACAAGTGCACTTTCCAACTGTGACGTGTATAACGAACAGCCCTCGAGTGCAACGTCGTCCGCAGCCAGTCGGCACGCGCCAACTCCCTTGTTACTGCATCGTCGCTAGCAACGACAAACCGATTACTAATTGTGTGGCTAACGCAATATATCTGTAGCCAAAAGTACCAAAATACAGAACATTGACACATACAGAACACATAAAGGAATTCATTAAAAAGATCACAATAATTAGGAGTGTTCATCAAAATGCTCGACGAGCCAAACAGGATGTTAAGAATGCGTGTCGGGCGCGTCGAGCGGTCGTTAATCGATAAGAACGTTCGATCACGATTGATGGATTGGCGACACGCCGTCGTCGTCGGAGCGCAGCCGGCCGCACGCGCACGCCTCTCGTCGTCTATTTTACTATTGGCCGAATCAGCGCGTGTCGGGACAAATCGACACACGAAGAAAACAACGAGCTAACGAGCCGATGAATGACATGCTCCCGTCACGAAACAGCCCAAAGCCCACTTGTACGCACGAAAGTGGGTGCCAAAAATATTTGTCTAACAGGGACAGCCAAGAATAGAACCGACCGGTGAGACGTGCCAACTCTTACGCCGAGTAGGGCTGCGAGCCACGTGGCCGGACCACTCGCCGCCCGCCCAGCTGCCACTTTACTATCTTGCCTATTCGACACTTTGATTTGCATTGTGTTGCTTGTGTGATTCGACTCTCGCAGATGTCAAGAACAATGTTAATGTATTTACGTACAAAAACAAAACAATTCAGGGTATTTATCTTGTTTTCACAGTTAACAACGTCTCTGAGAAGTATATTAGTACATAAGAACCAAATAAACAGGTAGTTGAGAATATAGATAAAAAATAAAACAAAAGGTAATTTGGAAGAATTCTCATATTCATGCATGAGTAGTACAGATGAAGGAAGTAGCTGAATAAAGTATTCGAATAAGGATGTCCCGATGGAGTAGATTATTCAAAGGGTCTCAGGTTCGATCGCACATTAGAAGCAGGTAACACGATCACAGGCCAAGATCCGGTCCTGGATGCCGCAAATAATTTTTTCTGACAAGTCAAAGCGAGGAAAAGGTGAAATCTAATTTGCAAAATTTTGTGACTGGGAAGGGAATTAGGTAAGCAAAGTCAATTCTAAAAGTAAGTAGAATTTGAATTTAAAATGATTTATAGAGGCGCAGGGGAGTGGCTAATGAGGCGTCACGCGAGAGGGACGCGAGAGGGGCGCGTGTTTACGCGTCGGGCTCGCGCTACCCGCGCACTTTTTTAAAACGGCCTCTGGGCGGCGCTACTGGCGCCCTGCGCTTCGCTGACGTAACGTCTAACACGCCTACACGCACTCGGTCTGACAACTCTACAACAATTGCATTAAAATAAAAATAACAAAAATATTTCGTAGCAGGCAACCATCTACTTACGTCACTGCTCACATTTAATGGACACCCTAAAAGGAAAACAACGTGCTTTCCTTTGCAAAAGGCTTAAAGTAAGAATTATTCACACGGGTGAAGTTTCCAACAAGTTTGCACCGCTGTGCCCGTAGCTTAACGCTAAAATATGCATTCGTGTACAGAGTTATCTCGGCCAATTTTGCCGGTGCCCGAGGAGGGCGTTGGGCGGTCAGTCATTGTTTATCCCGGCTTTTGTATTATTTTAGTCGCACATTTTCGTATTGGAATTCTAATGTTGATAAACAAATTGTATATCAGGATAGTCTTTGATAAACTTTACAGCAATTAACAGTAGTTTTAGTGGAAATGTACAATCCAAAATCGCTTGAGTGGCATTATAAGCGTGTCCAAGGATGTGACTTAATGCAGTGCATAGTGTAGTTAGTAATAAAACGGCCAAGGCAGCAGGAGCCGAGGGGCACGAGATTAATGCAACGGAAGCGGGCACGACCTCTCCAGGTGTTTCATTAAATTGCGCGCGGCGCCTCAGTCGCCTCGTGCGGCCGTTATGAAGGCTGCAAGCTCGAGGGCCATTCGCTTTAAGAACGCCTGCGCCACTTTGTAACAGCCTTAATGAAACTTGTTACTTATAGGCTCGCGTAAATTGCCTGTTTTACTGACGTGGGGGGGGGGGGGGGGGGAGGAATCATTAGGTCAGTGAACGCTCTCACGTACGAAACGTCTGAGCAACTCCTGTTACACTCAAAGTGCTATTCTTGTTGCCGCTAACATTCTAACACTCGCTGAAAAGTAATTATGTGAAGAAGATTCCAGTCGTATTAAATGTAAATTATATGAAAAGATACGAATGACGGACATTCACTGCACTCAACATAATTTAATACCTATGCTCTGTATGCTGCTATTACCAGAAAACATGTCAGACAAGTGACAGTCAAACATTTCAATTTTTAGTGTTTAATTTATGTTTTATGACAAAACTGAACTGGAATGGACGTTATATTTTTATAGTTTGCAAAGTGCTTTGTTTGAAAAGTCCACAGCTAGGTATAAATATCTCTAATTGTTTCATATTAACATAAAAATCCTGAAAACTTGTTTCACATGAAATAAGCGGCAAATGAGAGCAGCGAGGGTGTATAACGATCTGGAGCGACGGCGATGTCACTCAGGACGTCTAACCAGTTTAGCCGTGCTGCTGCAGTAATTAGTCTAAGCAGCTGGAGCGCTCCTGACGTCTCGCCCGACTTACTTTGACTTGCTCCTCTACCATTCGGTTCACTTCACCGATTTGTTCACTTCATTATCCAGGTAGAACGTATTTAATTTATCACTTTGATTTCGGCGCCATTTACCTGTTATTGCACACAGCATATTAACCTTTATAATACATTCTACAA